GGGGCGTGGGCAGAGCTGGGGGGCAGGAGCAGGAACAGGACCCAGGTGTGCCATCATTTCCCAGATAGTGGCACACACATTTTCACCCTGCCACACAAACTGGTCCCACATGCAGGTCCACCACTCAGCATCATCCCAGACCTTCTGGGCCAAGGTTTGCTGCATATCATACAGGATGCCCATGTGTGCTCCCCCACATCAAGGTGGGTCAGGAGGCACCTGAACTGCGCCTTCAGGTGCCCAAAGGTGCACTCGACCTACATTCGGGCCCAACTGAGGTGGGCATTGAATTGGTCCCTGCTGGGGTCCAGGTGGCTGGTGTACGGCTATATGAGCTATGGCATTAGGGGGTATGCTGTGTCCCCCATGATGCACAGTGACATCTGCACATCCCCAACCCAAAAGTCACAGTGGGGGAAGAATGTGCCAGCTTCCAGCTTCTGGTTGAGGCTGGAGTTTCTGAAAATGTGGGCGTCGTGTTTCCTGTCTGACCACCCAACGAAAATGTCCATAAACTGTCCATGGTGGTCGACTAGGGCCATCAGCACCATAGAGTAATAGCCCTTGTGACTGATATATTAGATGGCTCAATGATGTGGTGCGCAGATTGGAATGTGGGTTCCATCGATGGCTCCCCTGCAGTTGAGGAACCCTAGGGCGGCAAATCCAGCGACGATAGAGTCCAGGTCTCCCAGGTGGATGACCCTGCGCAATAGGACAGAGTTGATGGCCCTCACCAGCTGCAGAAAGAGACAAAGAAACACACAAAACAGAGAATGAGGGGGAGTGCCTCAGGACTTGAGAGGTGCCCCACCCACTCCCCTCCCCCCTCAAACACCCGAGGAGCCACCCCCTATGAGGCCACCACCCCAGCAGGGCTGTGTCAGGGTGGGATGGCAGACTCACCCGGGGACGGGCTTCCCCCCTCCATTCCCACCCCACCCCCTGCATCCCCCTTTCCCGAGGCTCACCCTTTCCAGTACTTTCCTCCCTCCCTGTAAGGGGAGGGGCTTCCCCCCTCCATTCCCACCCCACCCCCTGCATCCCCCTTTCCCGAGGCTCACCCTTTCCAGTACTTTCCTCCCTCCCTGTAAGGACTGCTGCCCAAGAGTGACTTACCTCCATGAGGAGGGCCCCAACGGTGGATTTTCCAATGCTGAATTGGTTGCCCACCAACCAATAGTTGTTTGGGGTGGTGAGCTTCCAGATGGTGATGGCGACTCACTTCTCCAGGGGGATGGTGGGCTGCAGGTGGGTGTCCTGTCATCAGAGGGCAGGAGTGAGCTAGGCACATAGCTCCATAAAGGAGTTCTGGTTGTCCCACGCACTTCTGGTTGTCCCACCACTCCATCACCAGCCGGTCCAACCAGTTGGAACTGGTGTCCAGCCTCCAGAAGCGTCTCTTTATGATAGGGGGCAGGGGCAAGGGCATTGCTCCTGCATCAAGGCAGAGGGACTCACTGATGAGCTCAGAGTCAAACTGGGGCAGGACCATCAAGACAGTCTGCACAAAGTACTGGAGAAGCTGCAGCATGTCAATGTGGGGCCATCGCATGCCAAGAGGCAGCTCCGGCTCCATGGCAAGGAGTATGCCGTGGTGTCCAAAAGCTGGGCAACCAGAGCGCACACTGCTGAAGCTTTGCTATCTCTCGGAGAAGTAGGCAAGCAAACAGTAGAAGCTGAGAAACGTCTGTCTGTGGGGAGGCAGTCCCTGTAAGCACGCGTCTTGGATACCTTAGGCAACAGCACCTGGAAGCAACTGCTGACCTAATGCCCTGCCTGAACTGGTTCCGGGTGGCCTTAAATGTGAGATAGCATCCAATAAATGTGGACACTATCTTTCGAAAAAGCAGATAACTTTTTTGTTGTGCTTTTGCTGTGTAAACGCTTTCTTTCTAAATAAGTTTTTTCGGAAGATCTCTTCTGGAAAAGCTTCTTCTGAAAGAAGCTTGCAGTCTTGACATAGCCAAAGTCAACCGAATGTTAGGAATTACTGGGAAAAGGATAGATAATAAAACAGAAAATAGGATGACACTATATAAATCATTGGCAAACTCACACCTTGAATACTGCATGCAGTTCTGGTCAACTCCCTCTCAAAAAGTTATTAGAATGGGAAAAGGTACAGAGAAGGGCAACAAAAATGATTAGGGACATTGAACAGCTTCCATACAGGAGAGATTAACAAGGACAGGACCTTTCAGCTGAGAAAAGAGTCAACTAAGGGGGCATATTTTAGAGGTCTATAAAATCATGAATGATATGGAGAAAAAGTGTTTTTATGCCTTCATAAGAACCAGGGATCACCCAATGAAAATAATAAACAGCAAGAAGAATGGAGAAAAATTATTGGAGATTTTTAAGAGCAGGTTAGACAAACACCTGCCAGGGACGTTTCAGATGGTGCTTGGTCCTGCCATGAGTGCAGAGAGCTAAATTTGATGACTAACATACGAAAGTATTTCTTCAAGCAAACAACCCACAGTCAATGTGATTCAGGATAATCAGTGATCTAGGATATTATCTAATGTCTGTCTGTCTGTATATATATATCAAGCTCTAAACTCCATTTTGTTTTGTGAATTCTGTTTTGATTGTAAAATTGCACTATACCTTCACTGTTGTCTTTTAATCTCCATACCAAACTTGGATTCCTGTCGGTGTGTTCAGAGGGCTAACACTGGGAAACAATCAAGTTTTATTAACCCGGAGGGTCTCTAATTAAAATGGAAGCATTATAGGACAATGAGCCAGTTGCCACCTGATGAACCAGTTCTTCCAGGCGGGCTAGTAACTAAGCAAGGGATCAGCTGGTGCAGGACTTCAAGCCAATAGGAACAGTCATCTGACATGGGGACTGGAAACTTATACAAAGAAGGGTTTCTTACCTGCCATTTTAAAGAGAGAGGAGACCACATTGCAAGGCTTTGCAGGAAGAGAGGATGGTCCTGGGACCCAGGGCTGTAGAAGGGCAAACCAAAACCTGAGGGTTCTTGAAGTGATAAGTATCCTGGAGGGAGGCCTTTATGTGCATGTTTTTGGTTTTTGTTATTTTCTGTAGCTATGCATATCTTTTGTGCTTTATGAGTAAAGTGTGATTGGCTTAGAAATTCTTTTATAAAGTGTTACTACTTTCACTGCCATGTAGTCCCTGAAGGAAAAACAGTAATCTGAAAGGTCTACAACATGGTGGAACTTTGGGACCTTGAAAGAACTACTGGGGAGGCTTGGAAGAGCCAGCACTAACTTTCCCAGACCTAGGAATGCAGAGCTCTATATCACAAAAGGGGTCCTAGACAAAGGATCTTTACCTTAAGAATGTGCTTAGAAACCTAGAGCCAGTGCCTAGACTCTGCCTAGACCCAGAATGCCAAGAGCATATGGAATCCAGAGGGTTGGCCCAAATACAACAATCTGGTGAGTGTCCACTAGTGGACTTCATTTAGCATTCTAACAACATTTATGGGTATTTTGTGGCCATTCTTGAACAACTTACTGCTTTATATACCAATGGCTTGGAGGATGTATATTTGGATACTAAAATGGACCCTTTGTGGAAAAGATTGGACCAGTGCAACTTTCAGGTGAACTCTCATTTGTGTCTTGGTTATAACAGACATTCCACCAGCAGCAAATTATAAATATCACTTACAAAGCATTTTTCTTGTGGTTACTAGCAAAATTTAAGATTCATTACAAATCAACATGTCTTGAAAGGATAGACCTCTCCAACTGATGTTCTAAATTACATGATAACAGCTGATACAGACTAAAGTAATTTACCCCTTGATATCAGTTTGCTAGCCTTTTGAAAGAACAATGCATTGTGGTACAGACTTTCAAATGTAATGTGTTATACTATGCTGCATAAGAAACATTGATATAATATGTATTAACAAATGCTAAAGTGTTATTATATTCATATTACAGTATTGTAAAAATAATCATAGTTGTCACCAAGGAAAAAAATTGTTGTAGTAAAACATCAAAAGAGAGGACAATAGATAGTAGGGTAATAAAATAACCAGAATGCCAACGTCCACTTTAGAAATGAAATATGTTCTATTTATGGATCTTGCAAACCCCTCTAAAAAGAAATTCCCAGCTTTCATAGCAGCCAAGCTAAATGTAGATTGTTTTAAACAGGGTTATATATTTTAGAGAATTACAGTAAGAATCAAGTAAATGTATGTGGTTGTGCAATTTGCTACTGGTTGTACTCCATTTTACTCTTAGCATAGCTTAATGTCTGCCTTCTCTGTGCTTCTGTCTTGCAATGACATCCTCTGGGGAATGCATGAAACCCTTATTGGAATTCCCCTCCCGATCCCCTCCTGACCCCCCACTATTAGGTATTGCTCCTGAATAAGGAGTATATGTGTCTAACCTTCCTGATTCACCTTTTCTTGTGCACACTTTTCTCACCTTCCTAAGAGCTTAGAATAAGGAAGTTCCCATTTACTACCCAAAGATTTTATATTGTGATTTAAAACACTGTTGAAAATTAGAACCCCTCTTACCAATTATTTAAGTAATAATGATAATCAATAATTTAAGGAATAATTGTAACAAAATTGACATGCTGCAAGATGACTTTCTAATTTTAAGTAAATATCATTACTGCTATGTGTTCCAAACTTGAAGTAGATTTTGGTATACATTTAGATTTTTTTTTCTGCTGGTACTAACAGGCTTTACATCTTTCTTATTTTTCAGAACAATCACATCAAAACATCTAGATACAACATTCTTACTTTCTTGCCAGTTAACTTATTTGAACAGTTCCAGAGGGTTGCCAATGCTTACTTCCTTTTCCTTCTTATTTTACAGGTGATGTATAATTTTCTTTTTTCTCTAAAGTGTGTAATAATACTCTCTCCTCTTAACAAAAAGACGCACTTATTTGTATTTATAGCAATGCAGTGGCCACTTACACTATGAAATGAGTAGAATTGTTCTATGTTGATCAGATTTCATGGATATTAAAACGTGCCTGTTGATTGACAGCTATCAAATAAGCCTAAAATGACTGTTCTGATTAATAATGAGTGTTTCCAAGATAATATTACATGGACATGACAAGGGGAGAAAGTTGGCCTGTTGGGTACATGCAGAGAAGGGAGCAATAGCACCAGACAACTTTGTTAGGGCATTTCCTCAAATGATTAGATGCAGTTTGAGGTATAGGTGAAGGCTCGGGTCAGAACTCACTTTATCCAAACTGATTTACTTGTTCCTTTTTAAACTTAAGTTGATTGGATAAGTAAACCAGCTCTGATTCCTGTAGGAGGCTTGGAGTATGTGAAATGATGTAGAAAACAATTCTTGTCCAAATTGAAATCCACATGTCCAATCAGAACAGTCTCTCTATAACGGAATCCCTAGTCTAAACTTTCGGAAGACTTTTTCATTTATATTTAAATGAAATCCTAGTCAAATGTACAGGTATAATACAAAACATTTTTTTAAAAAGCTCAATAAAATAAAAATATTTTCTGATATTTAATAAACATTTTTTCTAATTTCTTGTTCTTTGTAGCTCCCATTCATTTGCTGACCCTTTTCTCTGTTTTGTCTCACTGTTTGTATGCAGCAGGGTTACTGGAACAATTTGTGTATTGGGGGTGCTGGGAATCATTGACCCAAACTGTAAATCCTGCATATAATAGAAACCACTTCAAACCACAGGGTGCTGCATCACCACCAGCACCCTGAGGGCACGTCTACACTGCATGGTTATTTCAAAATAAGCTATTCCAGAATAGTTATTCAGAAATAGCTTTTTTCAAATTAGCACGTCCACAGTATAGGGAAGCCTGAAAATTAGTCCAAGGCAAGCTTCCCTAATGTAGACATGCTATCTTGATTTAGAGCCTCAGGATGCACTTGGAAGAAATAACTTAGAATGGCCCTGGTGAGGAGCTTCTACGCATGCCTTATTCTGAAACAGCTATTTAAAAATAGGCATTATTGCTCGTAGAATGAGGTTTACAGATTTTGGAATAAGCCACTCGTTATTTCGAAATTATTTCAAAATAACAGAATGGCTGTGTAGACGCTCACATTGTTATTTCGAAATAATGCTAGTAATCTTGAAATAATGATGCAGAGTAAACACACTCCTACTTCCAGCACCTATGGTATGCAGTAGTATTATAGCCATGTTTGTCTCAGGATTTTGGAGTGACAAGCTGGGTGAGTTAGTATTTTTATTGGACCATCTTCTACTGGGGACTGAGACAACCTATCAAGCTACACAGAATTCTTTTTCGGGTCTGGGATCTTGTAAGAAGAAGCCTCTGAAAAAGAGCTCTGTGCAGCTGAAATAGCATCTCTTTCTTAATAATGGAAGATAGTCCAACAAAAATATTACCTCACCCACCTTGTCCCACTTTTTGGAGTTATTCCTCTTTCTGAGTGTCCTCCCTTGTGTTTCATGTTTCATTTTTTACGATTTCATATACCTGGCAAAATGTATTTGGGGATTTTACTCACTGTTGTTTAGTTCATACTCTATCTTCTTTTATGTTGTATTGTTTCATGGGCTTTGCCTTATTTGGGCCCTGTTCTCCTTTCATAGCTTATGAATGCCTCCCACGAAATCAGTGTGAGTTAGTCATTTCTGTTGTCATTATTGTTTCTTTGGTTTCTATTTTTGCTTCATTTTCTCTGCATCTCTTCTTCTCTCCATTTTTCTCTCATTTTGCTATCAATTCTTATTCTTTCTCTCCTACATCTCTCCCACTCTTCTCCCCATATTCTCTCTAGTTCTCCTTTTTCTTCTTCTTTTTAGCTCATCTCCTCCTGGCTGTTCACTTAAGTAATATTCTATTTGGTGCAATTTTACCCTGACTTTATTAATTATATGAAAATGGAACATATTTTCTTTACTTTTTATGAACATTATTAGTTACTTTAAATTAGTTGAGATTTCACTAAGATTTTTTAAAAAGTATTTAATACAATTTTATTTTATAGCTGATCCCAGAAATATCCTCCTTATCTTGGTTTACCACCATTGTGCCTTTAGTGATGGTATTTACTATTACTGCAGTCAAAGATGCCACAGATGACTGTGTAAGTATTTGCAATAAGTTACTTTTACAAAGTCTTCAGCCATCCATATATTGTTACATAAATTACTATGCAGCATATTATTAATGACATTGATTCTGTCACCACATGGTGTGGAAGGAGAACAAGTATTCACAAAGATTTGTTTATTTGCTCTCATTGAAGCATATGTAGGTCTTAAAAGGCACAGTGTCTAAAATATGTTCTGTAGACTTGTTGTTATTGCTCAGTTTAACAGATTTAAAGTTTATGTTTTCCACTCTGTTACTCATTCTCTCAGTATCTATTATTCACAGTGTTAAAACGGTCTGCTCATTAAATCACAAATGATTTGATAGTGGTAAATCTTTGTCCCAAATCTTGTATAAACAGATTAAAATTAATAATTGCCAAAAGAAATATTAAAATACTGATTTAAAATAATCATTTTAAAAACCTTTGTTAAATTTTCCCATATAATGGCCAAAGTCTTGTCACTTTTCTTTCAGTAAAGCATTTGGGGCTACATTGACTGATCTTGCTCTTATTTAATTCAATTGCAAAACTCCCAGTTTTCTGCATTCTGCATATGTTATTGAGACATAACATTTGTATGAAGCAATGACAATGAAATCATAATACATCTCATAGTGACTTTCAGGAATCCTAAAGCACTTATATAAACTCCTTTTGTACACTCAGGAATTGAGAGATAGACACCTGAGACTCATTAAGCACCGGCCTGCAGCAGCACACTAATGTAACACCTGTAGCCAGTTAGAAGGTCTCGCCTCGTGGGCCAGGAAAAGGTACTGTGGCATGCAGGGGCGGCCCATGACTATAGACCGACTTGGCCGTCACCTAGGGTGCTGCCTTCAATGGCGCCCGATGATGACGTCACGGGGCACCCAGGGCGCCCGATGATGATGTCACCCCATTGATGGCCATGCAGGCTGAGGTGCTGATCATACGTTCTGCCTGGGGCGCCAGCTGCCGCAGCCTGCCTCGGGCCGCTCCTGCGTGGCAGTGGTTGGGGAAGTGGCTCAGGGAGAGGTTTCTATTTTGTGGGGATAAAGGCAGGAGCCTCACTAGTGGCCACTATCTGGGGCCCTGGGCTGGAACCCAGAATAAGTGGATGGGACCAGCCCTCACCACGCCAGGTAGGCCGCCATCAGGGAACAAGGGACTTTTGGATCACAGAAGGGGTTTCCCCTCCAGACTAGTGACTTGCCTGTAATGAGAATGACTCATTAAGTGGGGAACCCTCACCTCTGAGAGGAGCAAGAGGCAGTGGGGAAGGGTCACCGTGAGCCTCTGAGGCATACCAAAGGAAGCGCAGGATCCAGGGGGTTTGACCAGATCCCTGCCACAATATCTTTATTCCTCTGTCCAAAGAAATACGTAATTACTTTAGGCACATACCAGTTGTATAAAAAGCATATTTTCATCTTAAAGTGAGGGAAATGCATCTAATTTATATTTTTACAGCTTCCACAAAAGAGAAATTCAATACAATTTTAAAAATTCTCCAACATGGCTAATGATGCAAAAAATGCACACTTGTTCAAAAAACATACATAGGGGCCTGGAAAGGGCAGAAGAGGTCAGGACAAAAAACAGTAGGGAGGCATAAAAGCCTGTCAAAAATACATAATGAATAAAATTAAAGAGTTATTCCTATCCATTGCCCTTTTCTAATAGGTAGTTGATATTATCTTCAATAGTCTTGGCCTCCATAGCCCATTTCACGGTGAAGCACTCCTGTTCAACTGCAGTGTATTTGTGCTGCCTCGGGAGCAACTTCCTGCTAAGGCAGTGTTTCTAAAAGTGGATTCACTCTGAGAAATCTGCTAACTGGCAGCTGTGGTATGTTTATTTACTGGTTCTGCAGCCATGGAGCTTCGCAGTTCCCATTGGTTCTGGTTTACTGTTTGCAGCCGACGGGAGACGCAGGAAGTGGTTTGGGCCAGGCCACCCTTTCTACTGTATCAGACCATTTAACCATTTTTTGAGGAGTAACGTTAGTTCAAACCAAGGGCTTTGGTTCAAACTACCGTGTCCTGGTGCACACTTCCTGGTTCGAATCAGCTGTGATTCGAATTAGCACGCCAGCAAGATCATGCTAATGAAGCGCAGGATATTTAAATCCACACTTCATTAGCAATTTCGAATGCCTGCATTTGCATCCCTAGTTCCAACTAGGGTGCAAGTGTAGACATATCCTGAGAAAATAGTTATTAATGGTTCATATTATGGAGATTTATGGCTACTAATCCTAGCTGAGATCAAGCACTAATCTACTTAAAATGAACAGTTGGTTTTGTCTTGAAAAGTATGAGATAATAAGTTCTCCAAGATCGTGTATAAAGCAGGGCTACTCAACTTTGGAAGCTCCGAGGCCCACAATGATACTCACATCACATGCTGAGGGCCGCAATTTAAGCGTGGTTGCAAATATATGCAAATAGCTTCTTTGATACTGACAGGCATGAATACAAAGATTAAAGCAAGACTACACAACATGCAGGCCCCATTTAAGTCAGTTCTGCTGATATAATAAAATGCAATATTTACCCAACTTCCACTCATTTGACTACACAGTCATAATAAGCAATGACAATTCAGCAATTTAACTACTAAAGTATACATCACCAGAAGACCATGTCATACTGTCAGTGTTCAGTGTTGTCTGGTCAGGGTTCTCGGGGTTGTCCCGGTGCATTCCTGACAGGACTTCTCCTCTGTTGGTGATGATAACCTTTTGGCTGCATGCGTCAATATCAGTACTCCCTTTATCTAGAGTGTTAGAGCCCATGCATTTGGGTCAACACAGGAGATCTCTGAGAGCCCCCGGAAACGACAGATGCAGGCAAGGATCAAATCAATCGAGCAGGTTTATTGTCAAATGCGATGCACTAACAGTTATTAGCAGAAATTCTCAACGCTAAACCACTGTGCATTGGCCCGCGTTGACGATGTACCAACACATAGCAGGCCTATTACCAAATAACAGCTATTAACAGCGGTTAGCCACTGTGTATTCTGTAAGTCTAGGCAATGACATCAACTGTGGGGTGGGTTCCCATGTGGCTTAGGAGCTAGGGCACTCACCTAGGCCGTGTCCAGACTCAGGGGTTTTTTTGGGAAAAGTAGCCTTTTCCCGAAAAAACTTCCCCTGCGTCCAGACTCAAGCCGCGTTCTTTCGAAATTATTTCGAAAGAACGCGGCTTTTCTTTCGATGGCGGTAAACCTCGTTTCACGAGGAAGAACGCCTTCCTTCGAAAGTTCCTCTTTCGAAGGAAGGCGTTCTTCAATGTAAAGAGGCCGTCTTCGAAAGAGAGCATCCAGACTCGCTGGGTGCTCTCTTTCGAAAAAGCGGATTTCTCTTTCGAAAGATCCGCCTGCAGTCTAGACGCGATCTTTTGAAAGAGGCTCTTTCGAAAGAAGCCTGCAGTCTAGACATAGCCCTAGGGAGGATAGGGTCATGGGTACAAGTACCATCTCCCACAGGACAGGATGGCTGGGCAGCCCTGGGGCAGGAAGGACTAGGGGTTCCCTGATAGTAAGGTGGATGGGGGCAGGCTCCTGTCAGGCCTAGGGGAGCAGGCATTTGCCTGGGGAGGATAGGCTTGTGGGTTCAAGTCCCACTTTCCTCAGGACAGCCAAAAGCTGGGCAGCTCTGGGTCAGTCAGTGTGCATCATTTGCAGTATCCTTTTATAGACATATACAAACAACATACACCACTTCTTTATGTACCAGGTTGCCACCCTCTGCTGCCTAGTCACTACCCCTCACTTTGCAGAAGTGGGGGGCTTACTTACTATCCTTCATGCTGTCAATTTCAGCCCGGTCCTGAACTACGTCGGTATGTGCATTAGTTTTTGGGGAGTCTTTGTACCAAGTCATTTTTATTAAGATGTTCCACTACTTCCCTTTGGCTTACAGTCTGTACTCAGTGCCTCCCTATGTCCTTCCATGCTGGACCTAACTTACACAATCACACAATTATCAATAGGGCCCCTTTCTTGGCTGCCGTGTTATTGAACCAAAATCTTGCTCACTAGATTGCAGGCCAGTTGCTGTTTTCCTGTTACAGGCCTCTGTTCAGGCCTGCTGACTCCATGAAACAAAAGACAGGACTATGTAGCACTTTAAAGACTAACAAGTTGGTTTATTAGATGATGAGCTTTCATGGGCCAGACCCACTTCCTCAGATCAAATTGTGGAAGAAAATTGGCATGACCATATATACCAAAGGGATACAATAAAAAAAAAAGTGAACACGTATAAAAAGGACAAATCAAATTTCAGAACTGAGGGGGGATAAGGAGGGAAGGTTAATGTCTGTGAGCTAATGATATTAGAGGTGATAATTGGGGAAGCTGTCTTTGTAATGGGTAAGGTAATTAGCATCTTTGTTGAGACCCAGTTGTAAAGTGTCAAATTTAAGCATTAATGACAGTTCAGAGGTTTCTCTTGGAAGTCTTGTGTTAAAATGTCTTTGAAGCAGGATGTAGGTAGTCAAGTGATTGAGACAATGCCCTTTCTGGTTGAATTGGCAAGAAACTGTTAACATGGCTACATCTCTATTGCTGACTCCATGTTACTGACTCTCAACTCACTACAGATCATTATATTGATTACTACCCAAGCCCCAGCCCCAGCACAGACCTTTCTCATGCTAGCCTCGCTGCCTGGTTCCACCGCTGCCTCGCTGCCCAGCTCTGCCATTGGCTTGCCACATACCTCTTGTCGTCTCCGGCAGCTCCTGTGTATGCACTGATGTGGCCTGGCTTGGGGAGGCACTGCCACTGTGGCAGACATGGCAGGCAAGCTCTGCCTCGCCTTTATCCGCCCCCTCTCTTTGGCTGGCAGCTCCCACATACACACAGACGCAGCTTTGCTTGCGGGAAGGTGCTGCCATGGCAGGTGTGCTCTGCCACCACCTCTTGCCGCCGCCCCTTCCCCACTGTAGGCTGGCAGCTCCTGTGCATGCAGTCTGGCCAAAGCCATGCGGCTCAGC